AGTATTCTTTTCATCAACCAAATGGTAAACAGCTTGGGTAGTCATCGATAAAAATCACCCAGATTATTGCGCAGACAAATAACTTCTTTGGATCTATCAATGACCGCCAGCTCAGAACTATGGAATCGTTAGACTTTTTAAATTAATGAGAAAAAGAGTTTATGCAGAATTTGGGAACGAATTCGTATCCGATCAAAAACGTTCATTTTAGACAGATTCAACTAAATTAGGCAGGAGCAAAAGTAAATACGAAAGAGGCGTGTCGGACGTACTTCACTTTGGCCACCTTATCAATGAGGACGGTGAGAATGTGGGGCCAAGCGTGTGACCAGCCCTCAGAGTCACGCTCAGCCACGTCAAAGGACTCGAGGAGACGGGTGACATGGCGCACGTTGACGACGGTTTTAAGGGTAGGCGAGGCTGAGATAAGACAGACTCGTCTCTGCCGGGACGATGCATCCTCATCAGCCGTCAAGCCTAGAAGTTGGGGCGCGATCAACCCACACAGTGTCTCTGCACATACTACTCCTGCAATGCCGCCTCCCACTACGATAAAGTCGAAGAATTCGGCCTAAAACACAAAAGTGCGTCACCGACACTACTTCATCCATAGTAGGTGTTGTAGCCTCATCAAAGCACTACTGTGTGCAACTCTAAGTCAGCCAACAGATTGTCCTCAAATTTCTGCGATGTCTAAAGCCTAATAGGGAGACTGAGAAGAACGCTTAAAATTTTGGCTTTCAGCTACTCATACTGGCAACCTCAATTGAATGCATTTAAAATTTTAGTGTTGATCAGTAAACTAACTTTAGTATCCATAAAAACAAATACCTGATGACTTACTAGCATTTCACAAAGCTACTTAATATTCGTTATAATGGATTGGTAAACTAGCAAGGCAGCTGAAGCAATTTAACGTGAGCACTAAGCATAAAGAGGATCAAGGACGGTACGTGACATCTGAATGCTAAGGTTATTTGATGCGAAGCAAAAGAGCAAATGGTATTATAGGACGTATATTTAAGTTAGGAGAGTTGATAATGTATGGTGAAGTAGAAATGAGAGTAGTCAGGCTGATGGTACAAAGGTGACATCTTGAGATCGTTTTACGGTAGGGCTGGTCGGTAAGGAGGTGCTGTGGGGCTGCACCGGGGAGTAGGTGCCTCTCTCCAGCTCTGACATCCAGCGATCAAGCGAGTCGACCATCTTGGAGGCGTGCTGATATTTAAAGGAGATGAGAGTGCGATAAAAAAAGATAGCGAAGAGTATGAAGACCACCACCACTGGACCCACGATGAGGAAGCAGACACCAGCCGACCACTTGGAAATGTTCCAGAATTTCACCCAACATGCCAGAACAACCACTACCAAAAAAAGCAGCATCCCAAGAGCTGTACTAAATATCCAGGCCATTTCAATGTAGCTAAAATGAAGAATATTACAATTTCTCCGTGAAGAGGTCAGAGAGCTTATCATCTGTGTGCGCATATGTTAAATTGAGCATTAGCAAGCAAATATGGAGTATCAGGGCAAGATCCGCTTACCAGAAGAAGCTCTAGTAGGTGCCATAAACATAGCAATTATTTTCAAGAACAATGCATTCGATAAGTGGTTGATAACATTGCTACTGTAAACACAACCTCTTCAGTTTTTAGCAGTTTACCGTAACATAAAGCCGAAAACTTTCTGTTGCCTCGCCAGTAGGATGCCATCATACATCACCGAAACTACGATAGTACTGAATGGCTGCAAGTACAGATAATGCACCACTTCAGATTGTTGTTACAAAGATGGGTGCTAATTCAAAAGCTACATCTATTACGCATTTAGCAACTCCCCTTGGCTTCCTTGATAGGACAGTTTGCGATTTGAGTGAACAATGAAACCAGCTTCTACCGCATGAAAGGCAGAATCCACCAATCTTGCGGCTGCCAATGTAATCGCAAATATAATCTCAGCAACGGGCACCATGGATAATGCCGCTTGCATTAAGCATCGGTGTACGGATGCGCAAAGCAATCGAGGAAACGCATTCATCACCGGTGAAAGTACAGCTTGAGAGTCAGTCAATACCCGCACTTAGCGAAAAAGCAATGGAGCTGGAGATATCTCGGTCGGATGATAGTGCGCGTTTGTGATCCGATGGATTGGTGGGTAAGGTGGGAGGTAGGCGGACTGCGCAAACCAGAAACTCACCCACGAACCTTCTCGTAGGGTGAGTCGATGAACCCATCGGAGTTCTCGCAGACGCTGATATAACACTCCAACTGCGGCAATATGCAGGTACTTATCATGAGGGCAGTGATGTGGACCACAACCAACAGGGAGGCGAACGCCGTGAAAACAACTAAAAGCACCTCCGGCACTCTGTTACCCTCGTCATTCTCTATCTGAAATAAAATACTTAAGTCTATCAGAGCCGGACGGAGCAAACGGATAGATTAAATTATGAGAAATGTGTGACAACAGCAGCAGCAACGTTATGCCACAAAAACACAGACTATGGGTGTCTTTATTTAAAGCAAGTGAAGGTAGATTTAACTAGAGTTGCTTTGTTGTATGAAAGAAGGGGAGGC